AGGGGAAGAAGTAGTGCAGGAAAATGTCGCGGAAACTACAGATAAGGGATAACCAATGAAAAGCGACGCATGCTTGACTTCGATACAGCCTTCACCTAACAGTTATGTATCACATCAACAAGCATGAGATCTGATTACGTAATGAAGTGGAGACCGTCGAACACAAATCGACTACTGAACACTGCTTTGCAGTAACCTTAAGAACATGAAGAATTGAAAATATTTTGTGAAAGCTGCATCCTCAGTATGAGCCACAGCTTGTAGACGTAACAATGTCAGTTGAAGGAGATAGAAATCGTATCAACAACAAAGAACGAGTCGATTTTGGAAATTAAAAGAAAACTGTATGGCTAAGGACTTTTCGATAGATACTATGCCCTTTAAAAAACCAGAGCACTCATGGTCCACCTTGAAGCGTGAGTAAATCGGGTGGCAAGGAATTTACTGGCTTCGAAGCCAGGAAGAAGGAGCATTGACTAAGAAACTTCATGGTGGAACAATGAGGTTCATATAGTGACAAAGGCGAGCAGCGTACAAGCAATGGCATCGAAATGAAAGCAACTGACAGATTAGAAGAGTGTATAAAAAATTAAAATCTCGTGAAGGAGAGCGAGATACGGAATCGCACGAAGGAAAGCATTGTCAACAAAAGATATTGAACACTTCTACCTGATTGAAAACAATCTCGGGAAAACGTTAGAGACCACAGGAGATGACTGAGAGATGCCGAACGTACTTAATGTCGTCCACTACCAGCATTGAAATATCTGTCCAGTCAGCTGGCCCTATGAAAGGACCAGCCCCACTCACTACAGCAGAGGGAGTAAGGAAGGCTTGCGATGACAAAGACAAAGACAGCAACACTGTTGATAATGACATCCCAGGCGAATTTTGGTAAATATGCGGACAGGTGAATCTTGGCTTGCAGACCTTATCGATTATTCATCAACGCTAAGAGCATGCCCCATATCTAGGAAAAGCACAACGATTCTGATATGGAAGAATAAGGCGATATTGCAAACTATACAATACCGGCTTCAGATGATGAGCCACACCCTGAAGATCTTCGAAAGAACCTGAAACGTGATTTTGAGAGATCATAAAGTTGGCATATGCCTGTATTTCTGACGTCATCCATGCTGTAAGGATAGTGACGGAATATAGAGAAAAATAAGGAACTACATGCGGCTTTCTTGGATAGGGAGAAAGCTTTCGACAAATTACTCCATGATGTGATATGGTGGGGCGAAAGCGCATGGTTCCAGAAGTATACGTCCAATGGAAAAATCTACCACGATGCCAGGAGCCATGTGCAAACTGCGGCGAGGTCAAAACCATCTTGCATAAAGTCCGACTTACATCAGGGATCAGTGGCACCCCCCCCCCCCCCCC